AAAGAGATCCTGTTGTTAAGATTCTCTATCTAAATAAAATCTCTATTAAATTTTCATTGGTAAGAAATACTGAAAAGAAAAGGGAAAATATTTCTTTGCATAGCAGTCATAAAGCTATTGTTTAAAACGCACTAATAAAATTAATTGTATCACTGGTTAAAGGCATCTAAAATTTTTTTTTCTTTTTCTTTTTTTCTTTTTTTAATTTATTTGAGAGAGAGAGAGAGAGAGAGAGAGAGAGAGAGAGAGAGAGTGTGTGAGAGTGTGTGGTGTGTGTGTGTGGCCAGCTCAGCCCACCAGGGGGCGGGGCTGGCTGCCATGTGGTGCTGGGGGATTGAACCGCGGTCCCTGATGCTTTGCCAAGCTTGTTCTAAGTAGGTGCCCCAGACCACTGAGCCATCTCTCCAGCCCCCAATTTTTTTTTTTCATTGGTTTTTTTTTTTCAAGAAACAAGCTGTTCCTAAAATTTATTGAAATAGCCAAACAGTCTTGAAAAAAAACAACAAAGTTGGAAGACTCCTATTTTCCAGATTCAAAATTCACTACATAGCTACAGTAACCAAGAGTAAGTTGTCGGCACAGAGAGGAACTTTTAGATGATTCGAACAACTGAGCTTTGAAATAAGTCCCACATAATTATGGGTAATCAATATTTTTTTGGGGGATGGCAACAGGAATGGAACGCAGGACCTCATGCTTGCCAGGCAGGCACTGCACCAATGAGCTATATCCCTAGCCACAAGGATAAGTGACTTTTCACAATGGTGTCCATCAAAACAATTCAATAAGGAAATAGTTTTTCCAACAAATGGTGTTGGTAAATAACATCTACACGGAAGAGAACAAATTTGGACCCTTACCTTACACTATATGAAAAATTAGGGGCCAGGGAGATGGCTCAGTGGAATAATCGCTTCCCTGGCAAATGCAAGGGCCTGAGTTCAATCCCCGGTTCCGAAGGGGGGGGAAAAATAATAATATGAAATGGTTCCGATATCTATAGAAAATATGGGTAAATCATGATGAGCTTGGATCAGGCACCTGGACCACCTGCTTCTTAATTATGATACCAAAAGTATAAGCAACAACAACAACAAAAAGGAAAATAGGACTTCATCAAAATAAAAAAATGTGGGGCTGGGGAGATGGCTCAGTGGAATAAGTGCTTCCCTGGCAGGCTCAAGGGCCTGAGTTCAATCCCCGGTTCCACAAAATAAGTAAATAAATAAATAAATGTTAGCTGGGTATATGGTGCTGCACACTTGTAATTCTAGTAGTTAGGAGGTTGAGACATGAAGATCCAAATTTGATGCCAGCCTGGGCTACAGAGTAAGTTTAAATCTAGCCTGAACTACATAGCAAGACCCTATTTTATTTTTATTTATTTATTTATTTTTGCTCCAAAGTCCCTCAGGGGTGGTTTGGCTGGCTGAAGTGTTGTGGGGATTGAACTACAGCAACCTGAGGCTGACAGCTTTGTGGAAGCAGCCACTTAAACAACTGAGCTAAGGCCAGGCCCCCAAAATCCTTTCTCTCTTCTTTTTTTCCTTTCTTTTCTTTTTTATTGGCGGAACCGGGTAATGAACTCAGGCCCTTGCGCTTGCCAGGGAAGCACTTATTCCACTGAGCCATCTCCCCAGCTGCAAGACCCTATTTTAAAAAAACAAAACAATCGTTGTATACAAAAAGGCAAAAAGAAAATTCACTGAGAAAGTTTTTGCAAATCGTGTATCTGACAAAGTACTCATGTATTAAACTCACGTATTAAAAAACAACCTGGTGGTACATGTAGCCCATGTCTGTAATGCTAGCACCGTGGGAGTGCTGAGGCAAAAAGATCAAAATATTCAGCCCAGACTTAGCAACTAAGAGACCTTGCCTCAAAATAAAAATGCCTAGGGATTAAGTGTTGCCCAGTGGTAGCACAATTGCCTAGTATGTGCAAGGCCCTGGGTTCAATCCCTCCCAGTGCAAAAGAAAATGGGGAAGAAGGGGAGAATGTAAGGACCTAAATGGGCGGTTCTCGGAAGACAATGTATGAGTGGCCAACAGCACAAGTCACTTCATACTTAGAGTAGACCCACTAGGGAAGAATAAAATGCTGTTTGAGGAAAGGGCTCCAAAACATTCCCATGGCAACTACTGCACAGAAGGCCCACTCAGCACAAGAGCTAAAGAAATCATTTTGGAGACACCAGAATCCATCCTGGGGTCAAAGGACACGGCCACCCTTCATACTCTGAGGACTCATGGCTGAGATCCCTCACTGCTGAGATCTGCCTCCAGACCCTTCCCCAGGCCCCTCATATCACACTTACTCCTGCCTGAGGCCTTTGTGCTGCATGGTTCTCCTGGAAACAGAGCTTTTGTTCATCTCTGCTCATCTGGCTATAGCTCATCTACCTGACCTCAGAGGACATGTCCCCTTGCAGCAGGTTCCCTATGTCTCCAGTCTCTGGGGCCTGTTCTCTACTGGCCATACCACCTCCCATTCCCACTGTCCTCTGGATGGGCATTCACCATCTGCCCTCTGCAAGGACATAGCTCTGTGGGAGCAGGGACAGGAGCAGGGAATACACTGCTACTCACCGGGTCCAAGAGCTCCTCATCCACCTCCACACCACTCATCTGACCGACTTGGAAAGATGCAGAATGAGATGACTAAAAACAGAAGAGAAGTCATGATGACACACAGATGCAGGAATAGGACGTGCTGGCCTCCCTGAGTCCCTAGACCCAGGCCTGATCCTGGGCCCCCAAAGCCACCACTGATCAGTCCCATGTGGACAAAAGGCCCCAGATTTTCTCTATTCTCCTGTCTAAACACAACATGCAGGACAAAGGTCTGGAGAATGTCCAAACAAGCTAAGGTTGCCTGCCACTGAGCTTGATCTGTCCTTGTGTACCACTGGCTCTCTATAAGGTAATGTCCAGCACGACCCTTCTGCACCTCCCCTGGCTTCACATGTGTGGACACTCTTCCCAACAGAACAGTCAGTCCCAGGGTACAAAGCAGCCAGTACCTTTTGCTGTTCCTAACTTTGTGAGCCCCTATTCTACTCAAGAGCCCCTCCTGGCTGTACTCACACCTGCAGGGAGGGGGACAGCAGAAGGGTATGGGAACTTCTGTGTATAAATGTTCTCTATCCAAAGAGATCATCTTAGTAATTCTACTCAACCATAACTACTTCCTTTACTAAAATGGTGGCTGGGTCAGGGCAGAGAAGGGTTAGCTTCTCAGCTGAGGGAGAAACACACTTCAGGCAACCTGTGGTCTGTGACAGAAAGCAAGTAGTCCCCATGAGGGAAACAAGTCTTTGTCTCTTACAACCCCTAGGACTAGCCCTTCCTCACAAAGGTTCATCCAGAGACCTAATGATTCTTGGTGACACAAAACTCAGAAGACAGCAGGGTCCAGCAAGCTGTGACAGGGACATGGAAAAGATAAAGATCTGCTGGCAGCCCAGAGCTCAATTCATTTCAACCCTCCTCCATTCCAGGTGGTGATCTGAACATTGCCAACAGGTAAGGAAGTAAGGGCTGTGTGAGAGGAGACTTCAAGACCTAAGGTCTCTTCAAGCCCCAGAGAAGGAAGGTATATTTCCTGCCTTCTCTAAAGAACTTGCTCTCCAAACTACATAGTCCCAAAGAGCTTGGGACCTCGACCTTCCTAGCCCACTGCCCTGTAGAGGCTACACTCCCCTAACATCCTCCAGGGGCTCCCAAACCCTGGTCCCCAAGACCCACATAGGCAATGACTGGTATTATAGACAGGTGGGTGGCTTCCACGCTGCCACCCCCAACCCCTCTAAACCATGATCAGGGAGTATTGGGTTCTCTGCACTTGCACATGAGCTAAGGGGAGGCTCAGAGACTAGGTACCTCATCAGCCTCCACAGGCTCATACACATGGACACCAATAGCTACACACCAGGCCTCCTTCCAGTACCCTGTCACACGTGAAATAAAACGTGCTAACTGTATTTATCATACAGGCTGGTAGTAAGTGGTAATGTGACATTATGAGTAGATAGGGCATTCAGCCAGCTTGCCCTTCCTCTTCTTGTCCATACATGTGTTCAGGTTCACACTCATATACATGCCTAGTGCACAGAGGAAATATCTCAGACTTCATCAGAATATAGGCTTGTGGTCTGATTCAGTAGCCTCTGCCTCAAGTATCAGGTGGAGGGCAACCAGAGGAGGCAACAGAACCAAACATGTAAATAATTTCACAAAGGAGGAGGTTCCTGGCTAGCCACATCTGGCATTCCCATACCTTCCCACACTCTGGATTTCCTGCCACAGAGCCACTCCAAGGCCTCTGGATGGCCTGGGCTGTGCCCTGCAGACTGTTTCCACTTCATCTCCAGAATCCACTGGCCCACTGACATCAGCAGGGAAAGGAACATATACCAGGAGGGAGAATAGAATCTGTCACCTGAACCTGTTACCCTGACCTGGTCCTGTTCAGCGACAAGTTTGCTACTCTTCCAGGGACAGTCTGTACTGAGGGCCCCTAGAGCCAAAAGAACAGAGCATTCCTGGTTATACTTGAATTTCAGACAAATAATTTATTTTCACTGTAAGCAGATTCCAAATACTGCACAGAACACATAATTAAAAGTACTTATATTTTAAAAAGGTACTTGTTTTCCTATAACACAAACCTAATAGGCATCCTATATCCTATCTAGAGCCACACACAAAATGAAAGATCACACAGGTTACTGCTATCCACAATGCTCCAGGGGCACATGAAGCAAAGAAGCCATACACATGAGATTATGAGTATACCATATGATCCCACTTTGCAAAGCTTAGAGTCAAGCTAACCCATTTACTATGAGGAGGTACTTATGGGGGCTCATGGGGTAGAGGGTGTCCTTGGGGATACTGACCAGTTCTATTGGGAGTGCACTTGTCCTTTGTGGCTGCCCTAACCAATTATCACAAGGACTGAAAACAACAGGATATACTTCTCCCCATGCTAGATGTGTTCAAAATCCAAGCATGCAGAGCTACACTCCCTCCCATGGCTCTGGGTGAGGGTTTTCTTGCCTTTTGCAAGTCCTGGGGTCCTTGGCTTGTGGCCACATAACTCAAGTCTCTGCTTCTGTCCACACATGGCCTCTCCTTTGTGTATCATTCAACCCAAATATCCCTCTTCTTCTGAGTACACCAGCTGTGAGGAAGTCTCTCTAATCCAGATTTCATTCATTCATTCATCCATCCATTCATTCATTCATTCATTCATTCATTCATTCATTCATTCGAGATAGGGTCTACCATGTAGTTCAGGCTGGCCTAATTCACAATTACCCCAGGCAGACCCTGAACTCAAACAAATCCTCTTGCGTCTGCTTCTCAAGCACTGGAATTACAGGTGTGACCACCACACTTGTTTGATCTCTTTTTTTTTTTAAGTTGCTTGATGAATAAGTGTATTGGTCTTTATCTGAAAAATCTTCATAGAAATTTGGTTTAACTCTCAGCAACCCACTCCTGAGCTCTGAGGAAGCTTGCCTTCTTTTGAGTTACCCAATCTTTCTTCTGGGCAAAGGACATTTTGGGACGGCTCCACCTCTTCTTTTTAACTTCTCTCTTCGGCTTTTCAGTTTGATCTCATTTTAACTAATAACATCTGTGAAACTCTGCTTCTGCACAAGGTCCCATTCACAGGTTCTAGGTTATGGATATATCTTCTGGGAGGCTGCCATCCATATCACAGGGTCATTTCCAAGATGTAGTTCATATCATGATCACTGGACTCTACTGTCCCACTGCACAGGCAAACAGAACAGGTGAGAAAAACACACCTATTCCTAAAAGTGATCAACAGTACACCAGGGAAAAGGCAGGTACAGGCCGGCCAGACAGCTCAGTGGATCGAAGTGCCTGCTTGCTTAGGCAGACACAGGTGCCAGGGGTTTGACCCCTGGCCTGCTGTGTTGGTCCCGCCCCTGGGCATGGTGGCACGCACCTGTAATCCCAACACTTGGGAGGCTGAAAACAGGAAAATCACTATGAGTCTGATCTACGTAGTGAGACCCTGTAGACTCTGCACAAAAAAAAAAAAAAAAAAAAAAAAAAAGGGCAGGCACAATCCCAACCCCATAGGCCACTGTGCTGACCCTACATGGAAGTCCAAATTCATGAGATGACTCTACCTGGGAGGGGCCAGTACTTGCTCTAGCCATCCAGTTGGTTTATGAGCAAAGATGGATGTGACAGGCACTGTACTGGCCAGGCCTGACTTTTCAGGTGCCTAGGGCACCAGCCACTTCCTCAGGGAATTACACTATGCCCTCAGTGGTCAGCAGACATGGCCAGTGGACAGCATAGAGAGAGGTAGGCTAGCTGCAGGATCTACCCCCTGCTGTTGTTAGCTGGACATACCAGGAGCCATCAGCATCAGCCTACAGCACCATGGGCACTGAGTCAGAAGGCACTTATCTGGAAGATTTCAGCAGTTTCTTGAAGAGGTGTGGGTGCTAGTCTAGGAAGGCATGGTTATGGGAGAGTACTCACTCTCACGAGGAGAAGTCCTAAATAACACCATCAGGCAAATGCTGATGGGGTGTGCAATAGCCTAACAACCCAAGAGGCCAGCCCCACCCCAACTATTGCCAAGTGGGGAGACTAGGAAGTGTAGATGTTTCCTTCCTTAGCAAGGAATGGGCTGCGGTGGACTTAGGAATAGATTTGACTACAAAAAGGTGAGATCTGGGTGATCGCCAGGGGGGACAGACCGGTTAAGCAGGACTTACACAGATCTGCAAGTCCAACCAGCACATGGTTGGCAAGCTTCTGGCTCAACACTGATGCAACTGCTAGGGGAAACTGGGTGAGGGGTGCACAGGACTGCTCTGTTCTAGTTTTGCAACTTCCTGCAATCCACTAATTCTTTGAAACTTACATCAAACAAAAAGTCCTGCACATCAAAAGAAAGATCAATTTCCAAAACTGGAGAAAATGCTTGTAAATCAGTGTGTGATGAGAAATTAACAAGCAGAATATATAAAAAATTCCTGGGGCTAGGGAGACATAGCTCAGCAATCTAAGCACCTGCCCGGCAAGTGCAATGACCTAGGTTTGATCCCTGGTACCACATGCCATGCTGGCCCAGGAACCCTGGGTGTGCCGTGCCAGCCACCAAAACTAGGCATGGTGGCACAGGCCTATAATTCCAGCACTGAGGGCACTGAGACAGGAAGATCACTACAAGTCCGAGCTGCATAGTGAGACCCTGTGCCAAATAAATAAATAAATAAATAGTTTTTTTTTTCAATTAAAAAGAATTCCTACCATTCAACCAAAAACCAAACCTCCTGATAAAACAAGAGCAAAGAACTAGGACAAGTTTGTGTCAAAAACAGACATACAAATGTCCAATGGACAAACAAACCCTCAAGACTACCTCACTTGCATTGGAATGGGTATTACAAAAAAAAAAAAAAGGAAGTGAAAAAACTAGAACAATGAATATTGTTGGTGGGAATTTTAAATGGTTCAGACAGTACTGAAAACCACCTGGTAGTTCTTCTAAAACACTAAACACAGAACTGCCATAATCATTCAAAAAAAAGGGGAGAACTGGCTAAGGATATGGCTTAGTGACATAGCACTTGCCTGACAAGCGCAAGCTTGTGAGTTTAATA